AATTTAATTTCTTTTTGTCGAATGAATTGAACAAAGTAATTTAAATGGCAGCTTATTTTGTCGTTCGTAACGGTCGTGCAGCTTCTCCGAAATATTTTGTATATTTGTTGCTTTTTTTTAAAATCCTTGATTTGGAATTCGGTTTTTGGACGAAACCGTCTCTAATATTTATTTCGAACGAAAAACAAAATAGCTGCCAATAAGAATGGATTTCATTCCTTGTACAGTGTCCATTTTGTGTAAAATCAAATGTGGATATGGCCACGAGATCATCTTGCCACGAATTAGATACACTTATCGGAACAGTGCCTATCTGGACAAAATTTGTGTTTTGTTAATATCGAGGTGAAGGTAAATTTATTATTTTTTGGGAATTACTTATTATAAATTTTGTCAATAACAAAATGAGTGTCAAATTGTAGATAGCTGGCGGCAGGCGCGTTGGAAACGTGCCGGTCGATAGTAATGTAATTCCTGTCAAGTTTATCGAAACTGGGATCCGAAACGAACCATAGCAAATAAAATCTTTTGTACAGCCTTGTAGATTGATTGACTAACTTCTTATATAATTCATTTTTAAGACAATAGAACCGATATGTTCACACTAAAAAAGCTTAATTTGGTTTTTTTATGGCAGAATTTTATTCTGATGACAGTTGTTTCAAAATATCCATATGTTACCGCTAAAGCTCGAAAGTCGTTAATGTGTACATTACCTAGCTAATCTGCAGATTAACTAGGGTGATCCGTTAAAGTTGCTAAAATTGTTCTATTTCTCAAATTACCTAGGTAATGTGCAGATTATCTAGATAATCTGCANCTTTGCTGGGCCAAAAGTAACGATAGTGAAGATTAAGATAATTACATTATAGCCAATCTTACCCGTTTTCACAGAATGCAAGAATTAGGTCCCCGTTTCCAGACTAATTAGAGAATTTTTACATGAGTCTAAAAATATGTTCGATTTCCCGCAAAAAACCGCCTGTAAATCTTGCATGCTGCTTTATATTAACAGTTCTTTTGTTACTCAACACTTCCATTGTTAACACTTCTACTGTTAACACTTTCATTGTTGACACTTCCATTGTTACACATCTTCGAAGTCAACCACTTTCAACCCCATATCTCCCACACCCTTATAGCACAGAATGCAAGAATTAGGTCCCCTGTTTCCAGACTAATTAGAGAATTTTTACGTCCAGTCAAGTCAAATGAACTATTTTCAATTTGATCACTTTTCTGGAACATTTACAATCGTTCTATAATCGAACCAATTCGAATTTGAATACAAATTCGAATTTAAAACGGTTTGAACATTTTTAAAATCAAAATAGAAAATCTTCGAAGTCAACCACTTTAAGCCCCCATATCTCCCGCACCCTTATAGCTATCGAGACGTAACCACCATAGTGCACGAATGGAGACTTGGGGTACTACAACATACAAACACCATTCATGTGCGATGTGTAGTTTTGGCTGAAAAGTGAAATATAGGGACACACACATCCATTTTTATAGATTTATCCATTATTTTTTTAATCAAAATTTTAGATAAGTTAAAATTAAAATATGAAATGTAGCAATTTTAATTAAGCATGCTACATTTCAAAAATATTTTTTATTAGTAAATGTAGCCAGTTTTTCAATTCATAATTCTGAATTAATGAATTCAGTATTATTTTTAGAATATTTAAAATAATAATAATGTAAAGTTTTAATTATCAGTTTATATATGAACAATATTAATTAATTTTTAAAACTAATTTTTATATTATGTTTGATTGATTATTCTAATAATGAACTGAAACTCACTATATTAATAATGTTGTTTAGAAATTTAATTTCTTCAAAAAAGGGCATGGTTTTTTAGTTCCTGGACTGAAAATTCAAAAATTTTAAATTCTTGTTTTCTATTTGTTGTAAAGATGATGTGTACATCAATCAGATGACCCTTTGAGCTTCTATAATGTAAGTTTGTCTAAGTAAAGGCATTCATTCTCCTATGAGAGCTGTTATCTCAGGGTGTTGTTTTCTGTGATTTGTACATCAGACAAAAGGGCACATGCACTTGTGACAACTCTTCACATGCTTTTCTATACTGTACATTATTTTAACTTGCTCATTAAAGCAATCAGATTGCTTTATCATATTGTATTATGTGTAAGAGCATTAAGCAATGCAGAAATCAATTGTACAGAAAACTTTCTTTCTGGAAGCCTGTTTCAGGACAAAATCATCTGAGAAGACAATGGAAGTGTTTAAGTTGAAATTTCCTGGTGAGATGTTAAGTAAATCACCCCTGTATGATCTTATACAATTTCACGAGACCAGCAATGTCCAAGTTTGCCTCAAGCCTTCCATTTTAACAGAGCCTCCAGTTGCTAACATAAAGCTGTTCAAGCTATCACCAAGTAAATCACTTCGTTGTCTTCATAAGAAGTCGTTTATCCTATCTTATATAAGAAAGACCACTGAGAAATTAGAATTACACATGTACAAAGCAAACATAGTGCATGAATTTAAACTCACTGGTAAAGATAAAAGGATGCATTATTGCTGATGGTTCAGCAGTTCAAGCAAAACAATTTGTTCTTGAAACCACAGTTTTCTCAGATGAGGCTTGGTTTCATTTATCAGGCTACAAAAATGCCCAGAACAATATGTATGGGTTCTTCGAAAACTCGCATGTCCTTTACAAACAACCTCTTCATTCGTATAATATAGGCATGTGGTCACAATATTACATTAAAGAATAATTGGGTCTTTTTTTCTTCTATGGTACTGTCACTACTACCATGTATGAAGACATCATTGAACAATTAGTTGTTGTTCTAGAACCAAATGATAGATTATGCTAGTTTCAACAAGATGGAATGATGGCAAAACAGCAAAGTCATCAATAGCATTTTGCAAGAAGTCTTTGACAATTATTTCATTTTGAAAAATTTATGGTTCTTAGGTTGCCTAATTTATCACCACCAGACTTTTTCCTTTGTAACATTTGAAGGAGGTGTATATAGACAATCTCTGCAATCTAGAGGCACTGAAGAGAAACATTGTCAAATGTATCAAAGAAATATCACTGCACATACTCTGCTACTTATCACAGAATATGCTGTTGCATAAACTTGTTTCCTGAACTTTTATTTTAGAAATCTTCTAGAAAAGAAATTTATTCAGCTAAATAACAATATATTCCACTTCATAGAAATTAAATACATATGAAAAAAGTTTAATGCTGAATACAGATTTAATGTAAATGCATTATACATTATAATAATTTTATAGGAAAATAAATTATTTAGATATTAAATATTGATTATTGAAAATTGGTTGCTTCTAGATGGAACTTACTTAGGCATAAATAACTGTATAAATCAAAATACAGACAAACATAAATTTTAACGTATAAGTAATGTAGGTCTACACATTTACTTTATTTCTTAAAAGTGTCAAGAAAGTCTATTTATCATCATTATTAATTAATTAAAAAATAAATAATATAGTTTTTAATATATTCTATAAAATTTCTCATCTAATAAATAGTTTCCTGTTTTATTTTAAATTATTATTTATGTGAATAATATTTAATTATTTGCATAAAGAAATTAAATCAATTAAATTTAATCCATGTAAAGTTGTTTCAATTATATTAAATATATAAAAATGTTATTTTATAGGAAAAAGTAACTATTTTCAATAAAATAATGTTTAGAAATTCATAGAAAATTGCAGTGGAGAAGGTGGATGTATCCAATCTTTTTTTTGTAATATGTGTAATAAACAATCTTTTGTATATCAGTTCAAGGAACAAAGCATAAGTCTTGGTAAATGCCTCATGCTGTTTATTTTTACAATAAAAATTTTTGAATTTTAAATCTGGGTACTTAAAAATCATTCTTTAGAAGTTAATCAGAAAATGTTACTTAATGCTGGTGCAAGGTGATGAACCATGGATCTATAGTCCTGGAGAAAGTTCTTCAATAACTGTGAATTAATGAAAAATTTTGATAGAGAAATTAAAATTTTTTGTGTTATAATCTTAATTTATATTGAAAATCATGAACATTTTGAGAATATTATGGTTTATAAACATAATACAAAAAATTGATTTACATAATTATTTATGTATTAATTTAAATATATTTCAAGATGCTTTGATAAATAAAGAACAAAGTTAAATATATAATTAGTAAATTTTGAAAATTTATTAATTTATGAAATTTGTATAGATATTAATAAAATTGTCTCACTTATAACTAGACATAAAGTAACACCAAATACTGTATGACAGGAAAACAAAATCTGAAACAAATGAATTTTTACTGATTGTTAGAAGTAAAGAACTGTGATGTATAGGACATATTTAATAGTTCTTAATCCTTTTTCTTAAAAAAAGTGAAAATAATAGGAATGAAATTAAAATTACATAAAATTAACTAATTTCATAAAGAAGATCAACAACTTGGTACTCTCATGTATGAATGCAGTTTTGTGCTACTTGTTTAAGGTAACTGAACATAAATTTATTAACAAAGCAACACTTTTAACTTTTTCTGTAGCTATCACCAACTTTTACAATATTTATAGAACTATAAATATGTTCTTTATGTATGGAGCAAAACACTGGATGGCTGCAAAAAAGCTGAAAATGTTTTATTGCTAATAAACTTTCAGTTGTGTTAAACAAGCAGTATTTAGTTGCATTCTTCCTTAATGATAGTTTGGCACTTCATTTAAAAAAATAGTCATGCCAAATTCCTGTGTTTACTCTTTCTATCAATTCATGTAAACAATTATCTTAGGAATATTCATTATATTTAATTTATAATATATTAACAATTTAAGTCATTATAATTTTAATACTTTAAAATTCCAGTATAAGAGCTATAAGAGAAATAAATATAAATATGCTATGCTATAAGAGAAAAAAAATATAAATATTTTCATTTAAAAATGCATTTACAATATATACATATATATTTTTTTTTATACTTAAGAATGAAGAAATTGCAATCCAGTTAGCTAATCGTGATGATGTTATTCATTGTTTATTTGGTTTACTTCAATACATTACAACTTGTATAGCTGCATGTAAAGTAATTGAATCTCTCTTGTTATCAAGGAAAAACCCACTAGATTTATCAACTATAAGTAAGTATTTTTATTTAATTTTTTTTTTTTTTTTGAAATTGAACATTTTATCTAACATGTTAGAATTCTTAGGTTCTGTGTAACAAAAACCAACACACTGCAATTGATTTCATTCTAATTTGAGAAAAAAATCTGTTGAATTTACATTTTGAGACATCCATTTGATTAAGAATTTAAACATATTGTTAGGTAGTAGAAATAAGTTATTTAAATAGAGTAAATATTGCAGTTAATTGATTTTATTGAATTTTTACTTTAGCTCACTGCTTTTATATGAGATGTTTTGCAAAATAGTGCTATTTTTTTCAGCATGTTCTAGTAGCCTAGGGGATTCAAAAATATCCTATAAACATATCTTTTCAAATGCATTGTTTTAGTGCTAGAAGGGGTTAAAGTTCAGACTAGCTACCTCTTAAGATGCTGCTTTTCAGTAGTGCTAGTGCTAAGTGCTTCAAAAAAGCCTGTCTCACTACCCTTCAGCTTTTTACTTTCAGAACCTTATGTTTATACAAAAACAATTTCCTTTCCTTTCTTGTCTTTTTAGTATAGCATAGAAGCCTAAAGTGCAATGAGATTGGGGTTTTTCCACCAGTGCTTAGAAATGCTGAAGAGCAACATCTTAAGATGTTGTTCTAAATTTTAACCTCTTCTAGTGATAAAACAGTGTGTGTGTGTGTGTGTGTGAACTATGTATAAATCATTTTTGTATTCTTTAGGTTTCTAGAATATGATGTAAAAATATTGCCTCTACCTTGTGAAATTTGAATTCTGAATTTATTCAATGCATAAAGAAATTAAATCAATTAAATTTAATCCATGTAAAGTTGTTTCAATTATATTAAATATATAAAAATGTTATTTTATAGGAAAAAGTAACTATTTTCAATAAAATAATGTTTAGAAATTCATAGAAAATTGCAGTGGAGAAGGTGGATGTATCCAATCTTTTTTTTGTAATATGTGTAATAAACAATCTTTTGTATATCAGTTCAAGGAACAAAGCATAAGTCTTGGTAAATGCCTCATGCTGTTTATTTTTACAATAAAAATTTTTGAATTTTAAATCTGGGTACTTAAAAATCATTCTTTAGAAGTTAATCAGAAAATGTTACTTAATGCTGGTGCAAGGTGATGAACCATGGATCTATAGTCCTGGAGAAAGTTCTTCAATAACTGTGAATTAATGAAAAATTTTGATAGAGAAATTAAAATTTTTTGTGTTATAATCTTAATTTATATTGAAAATCATGAACATTTTGAGAATATTATGGTTTATAAACATAATACAAAAAATTGATTTACATAATTATTTATGTATTAATTTAAATATATTTCAAGATGCTTTGATAAATAAAGAACAAAGTTAAATATATAATTAGTAAATTTTGAAAATTTATTAATTTATGAAATTTGTATAGATATTAATAAAATTGTCTCACTTATAACTAGACATAAAGTAACACCAAATACTGTATGACAGGAAAACAAAATCTGAAACAAATGAATTTTTACTGATTGTTAGAAGTAAAGAACTGTGATGTATAGGACATATTTAATAGTTCTTAATCCTTTTTCTTAAAAAAAGTGAAAATAATAGGAATGAAATTAAAATTACATAAAATTAACTAATTTCATAAAGAAGATCAACAACTTGGTACTCTCATGTATGAATGCAGTTTTGTGCTACTTGTTTAAGGTAACTGAACATAAATTTATTAACAAAGCAACACTTTTAACTTTTTCTGTAGCTATCACCAACTTTTACAATATTTATAGAACTATAAATATGTTCTTTATGTATGGAGCAAAACACTGGATGGCTGCAAAAAAGCTGAAAATGTTTTATTGCTAATAAACTTTCAGTTGTGTTAAACAAGCAGTATTTAGTTGCATTCTTCCTTAATGATAGTTTGGCACTTCATTTAAAAAAATAGTCATGCCAAATTCCTGTGTTTACTCTTTCTATCAATTCATGTAAACAATTATCTTAGGAATATTCATTATATTTAATTTATAATATATTAACAATTTAAGTCATTATAATTTTAATACTTTAAAATTCCAGTATAAGAGCTATAAGAGAAATAAATATAAATATGCTATGCTATAAGAGAAAAAAAATATAAATATTTTCATTTAAAAATGCATTTACAATATATACATATATATTTTTTTTTATACTTAAGAATGAAGAAATTGCAATCCAGTTAGCTAATCGTGATGATGTTATTCATTGTTTATTTGGTTTACTTCAATACATTACAACTTGTATAGCTGCATGTAAAGTAATTGAATCTCTCTTGTTATCAAGGAAAAACCCACTAGATTTATCAACTATAAGTAAGTATTTTTATTTAATTTTTTTTTTTTTTTTGAAATTGAACATTTTATCTAACATGTTAGAATTCTTAGGTTCTGTGTAACAAAAACCAACACACTGCAATTGATTTCATTCTAATTTGAGAAAAAAATCTGTTGAATTTACATTTTGAGACATCCATTTGATTAAGAATTTAAACATATTGTTAGGTAGTAGAAATAAGTTATTTAAATAGAGTAAATATTGCAGTTAATTGATTTTATTGAATTTTTACTTTAGCTCACTGCTTTTATATGAGATGTTTTGCAAAATAGTGCTATTTTTTTCAGCATGTTCTAGTAGCCTAGGGGATTCAAAAATATCCTATAAACATATCTTTTCAAATGCATTGTTTTAGTGCTAGAAGGGGTTAAAGTTCAGACTAGCTACCTCTTAAGATGCTGCTTTTCAGTAGTGCTAGTGCTAAGTGCTTCAAAAAAGCCTGTCTCACTACCCTTCAGCTTTTTACTTTCAGAACCTTATGTTTATACAAAAACAATTTCCTTTCCTTTCTTGTCTTTTTAGTATAGCATAGAAGCCTAAAGTGCAATGAGATTGGGGTTTTTCCACCAGTGCTTAGAAATGCTGAAGAGCAACATCTTAAGATGTTGTTCTAAATTTTAACCTCTTCTAGTGATAAAACAGTGTGTGTGTGTGTGTGTGTGAACTATGTATAAATCATTTTTGTATTCTTTAGGTTTCTAGAATATGATGTAAAAATATTGCCTCTACCTTGTGAAATTTGAATTCTGAATTTATTCAATTTGCCATTGACTATTTAAATTTTATTTATAAAAAAACCTAAATAATTCTAAATACAAGAAAAATTATTAATATATATATAAGCAAATATCTGCAAAATTATTGAAACATTTAATTTCATTATTTTGGGTAAATTAAAAATTTATTAAAAAATTAGCCATCAATTTGAATTTTTAAAATAGTTTTTATATTCTGACTAAAGAAGATTTAAACAGGTTTTTATTAAAACAGTTCAAAATCTTAAACCCTATTCTATATTCTCATTTGTTTTATACACATTACATGAACTAAATTTTGTTCTAGTGTGTTTCTTTGAAGCTTCTGTTTCTGTATTACTTCATTTACATTTACATACAAGATTGTATTTTCTTACAGTGAGAAAACACAACAGTAGAGAGAAAATCAGACTTTTGACAAGATGATTATTTAAATAATTTAAACTTCAATTGATATAGAAGATAGGGGATAGCTTTAACTATAGATTTTTTAACTTTAGTTTTTTGGAAAATTCTTGAATTTTTTACAATATTTATTTTTCAATTTATATCACACACACAATCTACAGAAATAAAATCAACTTTTATTTTTGGGAAATTATGTAAATAATTTTGTAAAATGTAATATACTGAAATTTAACATATATTTATTAATTTTTCTTTGACTCTGGAAAGTGAGATAGCTGTCACAATCAAAATTAGCATTCATTTCCCAGATTACTGAAGGATTAAGAGTAGATCCTCTCAGTTATTATTGATCTACTTAGTCTAGAAAAATTATAAACCATCAACAAGACAATTTATTCTTATAAAAATTGAACAAAAATACAACAAATTAAATTTTCATATTGCACCAGAAATAGAGCATTGACCTGTCTTTTTTTTTTTTTTAAGGCACCTTACCACTCAGAGAGCACAAAGAGACTAAGGCCTGTCGATATTGCTCAACCACTGGTTGAGAGACATAAACTTTACAAATGAATTCATTAAATTTCAGAAATGTCAGATTTAGTTTTAAATTCTGTTTTATAGAAAGTTTAAAAAGTAGATAATTAAATATATTTGAATACAGCTGTCTCCCATTGTCCTAAAAAGCTGTACCTGTCATTACTGACTCACCGGCTAGATACTTTCCCACTGTTTATAATAGGCTGGAAGCACATTGGGTTACCCCGAACTTTTATTCTTGTCAAATTCTATCTGGACACGGTGATTTTAGGGAGAGGTTATATGGTTTCCAATTGGTCGATTCTCCAAACTGCGAATGTGGTGAGATTGATTCTTTAAATCATTTTATGTTTGAATGCCCATTGTTTAATAGTTTTAGAGATATACAAGTTTTTAATGTAAATATTTTAGATATCCCTTATACATACATTGTACAGGATTTGCAGACTTATAATAAGTTTTTTATGATTTTTGAGAGGATGTTAAAGCAACGACAAAAATATCGACTTTTACGAATATAGATTTTATTCTTTTATCCTTCTTCATTAGTGTAGGTATATATATTTTAGTGATTTATTTAGTAAATTATTATATAACTAGTTATATATTATGAGATAGGTTTTAAAATTATAATCAGTCCAGTTTTAAATTTTAACTTGTAGTTTCAATGGAAATATATTTGAATACAGTCGACCCCCTATAACACTGTTGATTATTCTGTTTTATATGAATTCCATGTTGTACGAGTCACTTGGATTTTACAAATACGTGAGCCATTCACAGCCTGGCACACATATTTGTAAAATTTAAGTGACTCGTACAACATGGAATTCATATAAAACGGAATTATCAACAGTGTTATAGGGGGGTCGACCATATTTTGACTTGATGGTATAGTTGATTGAATTTTGAAGTAATGTGAAGAGTTTGGGTTTGCATCCCATACATTTATTTTCTCAAATAAAAACAAAATATTATTCTTTAATATTATTTATTTTTAAAAATTTAAGCAAAATAATAATTGGATTAATACATGTCATCTTTGCCTCATCTTCATTTCAATGAGTTTACTGTTTGTTTATACAGTGTATTGCCAATGTTTTGAGTATTATTTTGCCAGCTGATAGAAAATGTGAGATTAGGGACAATGAAACCCTCACTTACTATCAGGATGTTAAAGTAATTGATTTTAGGAAAGATTCTTGAGGTCTTTCCTTTCTGTCAGGGTCCTGACGCTAGTTAGGATTAGTTAAGTGCATATCCTAACTCACGATTCAATTGAATGTTTTTATTTTGTTGTTTGAGTGGTACTTAATTTAGGAGAGGTTATAATCTGACAATGGAGTTAGGCAATAGACTAATTGTAAAATAACCAAACATATTTATTAAAAGTAAAAAGTTATAGAAGATTAAAATATAAGCAAAATAGTAAATGAATAACTGTACAATCTCTACAAAGGGGTTTTTCTATTCTATCCTCTAATCATTTACAATTCAATATAATTCAATGAGTGAGAGAGTTTACATTAGAATATCAATTTGTTACCTGACACAGAATATATCCTTGGTGATTGAAGTGTTGTGAGAACCTTACATCATTTTTGGAGACGACATGGATTATTCTGTGGCTTAACAAGTCAGTGTTCGTTGATGGCACCATAATTAAGCAGGAACTAATACTCAGGTAAGGATAATATAGCTTAAGCACGGTGTCTAAAAGGTGACAGATGCACAACTAAAAACAAGGATTGAAGATGACCCTTCTCTTTTTATACATATTAGTGGACCAATGAAATTGTCTGAAACCTTTGCAATGTTTCTGTCACTAGGGGAAATAAGGTATCTCTGAGGCAATATTTAAGTGATGCATCTGACTTTACTATCAATTTCAAGGGAAACTTGAAATTGATAGTAAAGAGTGACATAGTTTGTCACTCTTCTCTGTGAATCAGAAGAAGTGCAAAGATGACAGGTAGATAAATTTTCTATCTTTTTGAACTAAAATAATAATAAATTAAAATATTAATCAACTAAATTCATTTAAAAATTCTAAAATGTACCTTGTTAAACTCCAGTTGAGTTATGCACAAAAAACTGTCAATTTTGTAAAATATTATTTTTTTTTCTTTAAATTCAAAAAATCTTTTATTTAAAAATTATTAAAAGTATAAAAAGCAGAAAAATTTTTTGATTAAAGTTCAACTAACTGTATCTTGAAAACAAATTCATAAATGAAAAAAAATTGAACATTTTTTTTTTGTGTTGATGATCTTTATGATGGTACACGAAAAAATTTTCAAGGTAAAAAAGGTGATTGAAGTCAACAAACTTATTTTGAAACAAAAGTTTATTATTGCAATCAATTATACATCTTGAAAGAAAATAAAGATATGTGTACTAATTTGAAAGTTTGACTCAGATTCAGTTTGAGTCATGAAAATTTAAAGATGCAATCAAGTTTCTTTTGGTTAAGCAGATTAATGATTAATGATTGCTTTATAGTTTTAGATCTTCCCACGAACTATAGAAGACCTCACTAATCAAGAAAGACCATGTTTTTAAGGTTATAAAAAGTCTGTTTAATAGGAAAAATACACTTTCATTCAAGAAAAAACAAAAAAATTTTATTGGAATTGATTGAATCAAACTGTTGATATTCAAAATATATTTTATAAAATTGACAGTTTTTGTGCATGACTCAAAACCAAGACAAAAAAAATGTATGGGGGGAAGGAAAACTTTCAATATTCAATGTTTTTCTATCAGCTGGTAAAAGATTGGAGACACTGTTTAGATAATATTGTGGAAGTTGCCATTGTGCATGTTCAGCTTGAGTAGTCTCAAAAATACTTTTGGTAAAATGGTAGCTTACTAGCACTACTGACAAGTAAGCATAGTTAGTTGCTGTGGTGTTGTGTATTCTCTCCAATTCAGTAAAAATACAGTAACATATTTAAAAAAATAACTTGTGTTCTCATATGAAAGCTTTCTACTTATAAAATGTATGTTCAATTTATATTAAAAAAACTGACTTGTCTATCCGTGCATAAAAATTGTTCAGCAAGAATTTTGCAATTCTTTTCACAGGTGAACCAACACTGATCTCTCTCTTGTTTCCATTTTTTGATTGACTGTTATCCACATCACAATAAATTTCTAATGAATTTTAATTAAAATGAAGTATTAAAGAATGTATAAATATTAATATATAAAAAAAATTGTAAAAATTTATCTTTATTTTNGAGTCAAATGAAATGACAAAGTATTTGTCTTACAGAGAGAGGTTCTTGTTTAATAATAAAGAACTTGTAAATTTAACAAAACATTTTATTAATCAAATATAAAAAAAGAACGTCCAAATAACAACTTTTAAAATTTATTTATTTATAGGAAATACAAAAAAGAATATTAGTATAAAATTTATCTCAGAAATTATAACATTACAATACATTCCATATTAAGATTATTTACTTGAGTAATGCCATAAGTTTTGATGTTCTATAATTAAAAATTGAAAAAATATACCCACATTCCATTATATGATTGATTTTTTCTTCCTTTGAAAATAAATTTTCATTTATAAGTAACTTCTGATACTAGATTAACTGTGAATCACCACTGAAAAATGGTTACTCTTCTGAAAAAATTTACAACTTTCTAGAAAAAAAACAATGTATTTTCTGTTTATTATGTGATCCTCTGAAAAAACTAATACAATAAAACCTGAATAAAACAAACCTGCCATGTGATTTTCCAGTTACTATAAGGCAGAATTTCATCCAATGCAGAAATAGAAAATTTTTTGCTTTATCCAGGTTATGCAAAACCTAAAATTTCACTTAGGCAAATAAATGAAACTGCCTCCAGGTATAATGGTGACAAAGGAATATCTGGACATAATGTAATATTTTTAACATTAACAAAGATTTTCTATTCCTGGCTAAAAATTTTCAAGAATCGTATATACTCATTGCTTATTTTTGAGAATGCAATTTGTACAAATAAACAAAAAAAAAAAAAAAAATGAATGTTTTCTGTACCTAAAGGAATATATGAAAATTTTTAAAAATTTATATATCCTTGAGTTCAGCTGTATTCTAATATATCTGAAAGTATTTACAATAGAGCCTCGATTATCCGACCCCCAATTAACTGACCGTCCTAGTCGGCAAATTTCAAATGTTCGCTAGTGATGTGGCGCTACAATATTTGACTATCTCTTGGCTACTTTAATATTATTTTTACGTGTTTTAGCTGGCAACACTCATTCGACCATGAAAGGGAGCCAGTATTTAAACAAGGCTTAATTTTCTAATTTTTAACGATACAATAGGGACGATTAATATTTAAAAAAACTTTTTGTTATTCTTAACATCGATGAAAATTCAATGCGAAGTAGGTTAATAGCAATATACTAATATTCTAATTACATGGGATATAATAATATACTACACTAATAATGGATTTTTTCATACTTTTCGGTTATCCGACTTTTCAATTATCCGACCAACCCCAGTCCCCAATTGGGTCGGATAATCGAGACTCTACTGTAATGGATTTTTTCATACTTTTCGGTTATCCGACTTTTCAATTATCCGACCAACCCCAGTCCCCAATTGGATCGGATAATCGAGGCTCTACTGTAAATAGTATGTAAAGCACTTGATTAACAATGTTGGATTTCTCTTGTATCTATCAGTGTGCCTACATTAACGTAGTTAATATTTATGTAATTAGATGGATACAATTTACTTCATTGGGAAGATCAATTGTTATAGATGTTAACCATATACTCCACATATTGAGAAAATATGTTTTTACTTATAAATTGTATGATTTTAGATTACATAATTATATTTTATTTATTTGATGATGTAAAATTTGAATTTTGAAATTTTTCTATATGCAGTATGGTCTTGTTTGGGGGTTGTGTGTCAGCAGATACTGCATAAACAAAATTTTACATAAATTTGTACTTTGCCTTATGTAGTCCCAGATGATTGCTTAAAAACATATGCAATGAGCAACTATTTTTTACTGTGACATCATCACAATGCCTGGCTGCAATTTTTAATCATAATTTTAATTTATTTAATTAAAAATATATGCTATCCATCTCAAATTAGTAGTGGCTTGCCCCTATACAACATAATTTTCTTTTAACAATAGTCATGTCAGTCATCTATTGCTTTCAGGAAAAAGTTTTGAATTGAAATAATGTGACATCTGGTTTTCATTGGAGGTTCATAATCAGGGCTACTTGCCCCTAAGGTTTCCATATCTAATCTTGGATTTCATCTATCTAACTCCATTTTCTAGATTAAGGAAAGACAGATGGATGACAGTTAGAATTTTTTCAAATTGCAGCCCACTCAATTGCAATTAACAGAAAAATGTTAAAATGTATTTAAAGCATTTTACTTTATATATATATATATATATTGAATTTTATAATAAAAATATAGTATGCACATTAATAGTCAGAAATTACCCTGTTCATCCAAGAGTTATAATCTAACTGTTTAACATCTGTGAAAATGTATATGGATCATGTAAAATCATGTATATGGATTCCATATAAAATGAGACCTTACTGTATATAAATTAAAATATTTTATTGGTAATATGAAGTGTTTTTAAAAAACTTTATTCAGTAAACATTCAGTTGTTAGTTTTATGAAGGTTTTTAATAATTTGAATTTACTAGAAGTGTGTGTATTATGAGAAAACTAAAATCACAATTTTTTTATAAAGGCATATTTATAAAAATAAAAATCGTTATTAATATTTGCTTTTTGTTTTTTTATAGAAGAAATATCTGAATTAATTTCTGGATTTGAAAATGTACAGTTAGCAAATTTTTGCAAAATTTTAGCCATTACATTATCTGATTTAGATATGTATGAACATAAATCCTCATGTAAGTTTGTAATTAACACTATTTATGTATATTTTAAATAAATTGTAATTCTTTGTAACTTTTATTTTTATTTAGTATTTGCACAAATGAAACAGAAGAAAAATCATAATTTTTATGTGCGTGATATTAATCAAGGTATGCATTTATTAATCCCTATTCTGTTTTTCTTATATTAATTCACAAAACATTTTAAAGGTTTTGAATATTTGTTCATTTTAATAAATTCAGTACACAAACTTTAAAAGGAATTCATGAATAAAGACCAGCTTTTTTATTTTTTATAATGTTATAAATCTTTTTGAATCTATATTGCAAATATAATGAAAAAGTCTGAAATGATATCTGAATATAATTTGTCTTAAAAATAAAAAATTACACAATTTGAATATACAGATACATATTTGTTATTTTAAGATTTTTATTAAAATGTCATAGTACAGTTAGTAGCAGATGATGATTTACTCTAGAACAATAACAGAGTTTATTTAATAATACAACCCTGCTTGCAATGAACTTTTTTCACTATTTAAACTTTCAAAATTTTGTGTAAACTTAAAAATTCTTGCATACATATTAAACCAAGTACTATAAATAATTTTTGTTAATAAATAAGTTTATTCCAATAACTTACTTACAATTACTTATAGTTTAATTAGTTTGGGATACATAGCTATGTATAACGAAGTTGTTCATAAAGGAGTTTTGGAGAATTTTATGGAGTTTCTTGTGGCTTTTCTTATGTCACGTGTCTTGCATATAAAAGTCAAGTACCTTTTATATGCAAGACATGCAAGAGCTGTTCATATTAATGTCTGAAAAATGGCAAGAGGTAAGACTACCAGAACTAATCAAAAAAATTATTATTTGGACATATAAAGAGTTAGTTGCAATGCAGTATTATGTAGATTATGCAGATAGCTCAGTCTACAGTTCCAGAGAATCATGAAATGCTTTTGAGAAAGGGGAAAACACTCATTCAGGAAAAGCTTTAGGAAGAAAACTACTACTCAGTTCCAGTCAGCTATGGTCCTTTTGATGTTGTATTTCCCAAAACAGACAAGTTATTATAGATTTGACGAAATGATTAAGGGACTACTTTAATATCCCATTATCTGAATACATTATGTGAAGATATATCCAACAATGCAAATAGAGGCTGTACAAATCCAAGGGGAAAAACCTTTCATAAATGAATTATGCAAGCACAGACTTTTTATCTTAGGCCAGAATTCATCTGAAGTGGGCAAATGCTGAATATACTATGGTTGGATAAATCAACATTTCATATAAACTCTGAGAATATAGACAAGAAAGTAATTTGTACTAAAGATGTAGCTAATAATCCAGCATGTTATTCAAAATGAGTCCAAAGGCTATAATCTCTAAAGATTTGGGGATGCATGAGTGCAGAGGAAGTTGGAGATTTGCATTTCTGCAATGTTGCCGTAAACTCTGAATCCTATATTCTAATCCTTCAGCAACATCTACATAAATCAAAATGCAAACTCTCAAATGAAGAGCCTGTTTTTCCAGCATAAAACACCCATCTGTACAGTGCTAGGAAAACCAAAGCCTGGCTGCATTCCAATCATATACATGTAACCCCTGGCCAGCATCAAGCCTGGACCTGTCTCAGATAGAAAAAGTATGGAGATTTTTGAAAGAAAAATGACTCAATGCTGTCCTTACACATTAGAACAATTATATATGTATTTAACTAAAGAATGGGAAAAAATTCCCACACAGTTGCTGTACAAGTTGTATCTTCCATACCTCAATACCTTGCAACTCTTACAGTATATAAGGCTTAAAGGTGATGCTATTCCGTGGTGATTACAGAATCTTAATACATTGAGCAAAGTTCAAAGAAATGTGTTGCAAAGGCTCTACAGATTATAAATTATATATTTTCCAGAAATCTGCTCTTCTGATATGTTTGTATGATCACTTATCTTTATAATAAATTACATTTTGTTACAAAAATAAACATCTGTGTATTGCATTATGAATTATAAGTTTTTATTGGTGAATGAAATTCATTGCAATTAGTGTTGTAAACAAAGTTTAATCAAACTTTTAAATACAAAGTAATTGAGTGCATGAAACAAAAGAATGAAAATTGCTTTCCAGAAAATTCTGGAACAAATGATTTTATATACTTTCTTTCCATTTGAATAGTTTTTAAAGATCAGATCATCATACCCTTCTCTTTGGATGAAGACTATGTTGATCTTTAAAAATTGTTAAAGGTTTTATTCTTAAATTGTCAAACTAACAGGATTATACTTTAAAGAATATTTATGTTCATTTTAAGTAAAAACTAAAATCAGTTAACTTTTTATTTTTGTCCATTATATATATAACAGAGAAAAAGTATGGAAATTGGTCAAAAAATGACTCCTCCAAGTTTTTTACATTTTGGACTTGAGATTTCAACATTGAAATGCAAAAAAAATTTGGGAGGTGTGTGTAGTGGGGCACAATTTTGTTTAATCACTTTAAAGCTTAACTCCTATTCTTTTTGTTGAAATTTTCTGAAATTTTGCAGGGAAGTTTGTGTGTTAGAGGAATTGATGCTATTAAATTTTGGTGGTTAAAGACTGAGGGAGTTGTCATATCTTGAGTGGAGTCAGTCTTAAGGAAGATTTTACTTATTATTAGCATTTACAACTTTTTATGAAACACTTCTCTGCCCTCAAAATTAATCTTTTTGCCATTTTATAATAATTAATAATATAAGAAGTTTTTAAAATAAAATTTTATAACAGCACCACATGCAATTAGAATTTTTTTTGCTGGGAAAGTTATGTAACTCACTGGAATTTTTTTTGTAATTTTAAATTTTCTCTTTTTAATTGAATTATGACTATTTTAAAAATAATGGTGTAATAAACATATTTAGATGTAATGTGTAGATAAACTTAAAGATTATTATAAAATAATTAAGCTAAATTATTATTTCTAGATGTTATCATAAATATACCAAATATCATGAAGAGAATGACAGAAATAGCTTGTGCTAAGCCATGTAAGTAATTTTTAAATTCAATTAATATTGCTTAAAAATCTTAATTGAAATTTAATTGCAATTAAATCATAATCCTAGTAAGTTTTTAATGCAAACAAAGGGTTTTGATTACTCATATGGCATCATCAAATTTAAGAATACAGTATGAATTTAAATAAATAAATTTTATAGAATCAAAAAATGTATCAAAAATATGTATATTAAAATGAACATAAAAAATTAAAATTGATTTAAAATTAAAATAACAATTAGGGCTATTGTACAGTTAAGTTTTAATTGCAGTTAACATTATAATAAAAAAACTTGAGCTTGGGTTAATCTTATTTTTAATTTAAAATTTTTAATTATAGTTAATTCTGATATGAAGTATTAGATGATATTCTGAATATATACCAAATAAATGGAATCTATAGACTCTTATTACTGCCAAAAGATTTTCAATCAAAATTTCAATAGCTATATTTTTACTCTTATTTCATATTGTATTTCGACTGTAGGCTTTCTTCAGACTAGAAAACAAAGTTAAGCATAATAAATTCTGAATTTTATTAGTATAATATGAAAAATAGCATTGAATTTGTAATACAAATTAATATAAGAAAAAGCTGGATTTGTGATGGTCTATTGCCACTAGAGGGTTAGGATATTATTATAAATAGGAAAGAATGGTGCTTAGAGTTGATAGTGATTAATTTTCAATATTGTATTTGAGAGAAAAGTTCTATTGGAAATAATATGCTATGACATAAGTGACATACATTTTCACTATCAAATTTATTATATAGGTCTTCAAGTTTTTTTTTTTTTTTTTAAGAAATAGAAATTTATTAAAATTATAATATTGTATTGTATTTAAAAAAAAGAGAAATTTATAATTAACATATTTTAGATTTAAAAAAAAATAATATTGGGATGCTTTAAAATTGTATACGTGATTTGTATTAATTGTGGTAATTATATCTTTTGGAACAATTGTTCAGAATGTATAAATTTTGTAATTTGTAATTTTTGAAATGTTTAGTTTTGTTTCTTGATCTGAAGATTGGCCTACAGCCAAAATGCATTATGAAATAAAAATATTGAAATACTGATTGTAAATCTTTTTATAGTGATATGCTTCTATAGATTCTATTTACTTTGTACTGTACATCTTCAGAATATTATAATCTTTAGAAATTTATTTAGAAAAAAAATATATTGACTAGATTTTTTTCTTCATTCAAAAAATATTTTTTTAATAGTCTACACTTAATGACTAAAGGCCAGATTTTTAGGTTTAAAAAAAGTGCAAAAGTGTGGGTAAAAGATGGAAAAGGGGCAGAAATAGGTGCAAAAATTTACATTTCAGAAAACAAAATTAGTTTTATTCAAATAAAAATCTGTTGTAGTACACACATTCATTTTGATGTTTTTCTGTAAAGTTCATTTGTTTGTCTCCTAACATATATTTATATATGGAGAAAGATCTTTCTACTTCTACTGAAACAAGTGGAGCAAAACAGTGTTTTAATTCTCCGGTTCATGTCTCTGAAATGAACAAATTCTTGAATATCTGGGTTTTTCTGAATTGAATGCTCAAGCTTTACTTTTGTAAATCCCTCTAAACGGTCTAGAGTTTCTTTAACTATTCCCCACTGATATTCCATAGTATTTCCAGTTTTTTTCCAAACTTTTTATTGCTTCTACTAAGAACTTAAATGTGTGTACTGCATAAAGTTCTTCCAAATTTTGGTCTTTTTATGACCTGTTGAATTTTATATATGGCAGCAGTTTCTGGTTGCAACTGTTTAAGAAATTCTGAAATCATCTGAAAATTTTCACAATGAAACACCACAGCATTTATCCAAGTTTTCCAGTGAACTACTATTGGAACAGGTGGAAGAGAGACTAATAATGTCTTTGTATTGCTGAACTCTTGCTGGGCACTTCAGCAGAATTTTTCATTTTATACATATATGAATTTACTACAGAGTACTCATTGTGAATACAATCACACACACTATGAATAGTGTGGGCTAAAAAATTAGCATGTTTCATATTTGGGTACATTCCTTTCAAATTGTTAAAAGTGAGAACCATATATTATGCTTGGTCTGAAAGAATATGAATCATATCGTCATATTGAATTCCATCTGACCAAAGCTTTGAGCAGGCATTGTTAAAAGCTTGCATGACAACTGTGTTAGTTTTTTCAAAAAATATATTTTCAGCAACCTAGGTTTCACACATTTGCCAGTTAGAAGACCTACCAAGATATTTAACACACACCTATTTAAGGCATCAGTAGTCTTGTCCAAGATAAAGCAGACCGGATTCTTGTCCCAGTAAACACTTTTTGGAAAGTTTCTTGGCAAATAATTCTTCCTAATAGTACTTTCATCTGGCAATTTCTTTCCAATATATTTTTCAAGATAATTTTTAAATATAGGTTGATTGAGTTTTGATAATAGAATTCCTGCCCTGATAAATGTTTCAGCAGTATCATGAAAAAATTGATTCTTTGGAGAACTAACTGCACTTTGAAAGTCCTGTCCAATAAACTGTTGCTGTCTTGATGAAGTTTCTTTTAAGGATTTGTTCTTTTGATGTATTTTACTTATATGTTGCTGGATCCTAGACTTTTGATGTTTTTCATCAACATTTATTGTCACGTTACAGACATCACACTGAATAACTTTTCCGTTGGAAATAATTTTTCATTTTTAAATTCTTGCAAAATCTCACAAAGTTTGCCTGTAGTCAATCTTTTTGCCATTGTTTCACTCTCCAGTTCCTTCACTAATGGAAATTTTGAATTTTCTCTCTACAAAGTGCCATCTGGTTTTAACAATAGATTTGCACTAAATATATGTGGGGGTTAGATGAGTGAAATTCCTAAACTGTTAAGAAAATAAACAAGAGGGTGTGGAGAGAGATAAAGACAATGGTTGAGAAAGGCAGGAAAAGAAGATCATGGAAGATGTTGAACATTAGAAGACAAATGCAAGAATTAAGGGAGTTTTCACCGATTTTGTCAACAATTGTATCATAATTGTACTATATCTTCCTTTTATTGTTCTATTCCCTACATATATGAAAGTTTCCAATTAGAATATTTTTGATAGTATCAATAAATTTATAACATTTGTAATGAAAAAATCCCTAGTAAATTGCTTTTTAGTAATGATTTCTCTCAATATTTCTATTTAATGTTTTTATTAGCTATGTATATCACTTCTCCAAATGAAATTGCAATTCTCTAATTACATTAGAACTTGTTTCACTAAATTTTGACTTCTCCTTTCACTAACCATTAATTCCTCACTGAGCAAGGCGTGAATTCTTTGGCACTGGTAGTGATCATATTACCTCTGAAATTGTCATTTAAGTTCAAATATAGAAAGAATAAGTGCAAAAATTGCTGAATACTATAATAGGTGCATAAAAGAACACCACCAGACCACCACTGTCATTCGATATATGTTTATATATGATATTTATGCTTAATTCAGATAGTTTTTAACATTCCCCTAAAATAAAAAATAAGGTGCAGCACCTAAAAATCCAGCCTTTATTAATGACTAATCATGCTGTAATCATTTCTTAATTACAATTTGTCAATTTATACTTTTTCATAATTTAAATATAAGTAGATTTTATTGTTACAAAATTATTTATTTAAAAACTGTTGTAGATATTCCATGTTTTCCAAGAGTTGTGAGTGAAACTGACCAATGGGTACAATGGATTGATAACCAAGTCAAAAATGAAATACTAAATACCCAAGAATTTCCTTTTATTTGTGGTAAGTAAATTGACAATTTTATGATTGATAGATAATATTATAAAATGAAATATTGTAAACTTTTTCATGTGTAATTAACAAATCTTAACATTAATATAAGAACCCATTTTTCAATATATTAAAATGCCATAAGAATATTTCAACACATATTTAGACAGAAAAAAATATATTGATCTTTTTTATAAGTTATTTATATAATTTATTTAATAAATCAGAAGTAAATAATGTACGAAGTTCTTGTTAATCTTTGTGAAATAAATTTTTAAAAAGTAAAGTTATTTTATAATAAAATCTTTAATAACACTTTTAAAAATGTTACATTTTGTTGTTTAATTTTCAATTTTTATGCTCTTATATAAATTATTCTAAGTTAAAATTTAATGTAACAATTTTGTTAATTTATAAAATCAAGTAATAGTGGACATGTTTAGTTAAATATGGTTAAGAGGCTTTCTATCTCCAGGAATTGAAATTATTTAAATTTTCATCATGAAATAAATATTTCTAAGATGATTAGAATTTTTGTTTTCAGAAAGTTTCTATTTTTGTAATTACTTAAATTGTGTTTTCATTTAATTTTCTTTATGTGAATATGTTTATAATAACAAAATTCAATAGCACAAACTTTATCAAATCTTGAAAAACTTGGAATGCTAAAAGAATTTTACATTTGCTTGAAAAACTGATAACTCAAAACAAAAAAAAAAATCTTATTGTACACCCCTTTTTGTTTTATTAAATGTTTTTACTTTGATTCTTGAGCATTTGTGCCCATTATCATTGGTGTGATAAGCCCTTACTACTATCTGCCTCATGGTTATAGATATTTTAATTAATTTAAAAAAAAAGAACTTAAATGAAAAATTCCATATATTTTCTAAATCAAAATTTTTCATAAATACCACTTGGTGAAATTTTAGGTTTTTCTAAACCATTCAAAATACAAACTGGTTTAGCTATTTTTCTAATGGTATTAAAAGAATAATTAAAGTAGTTCTTCTAGTTCTAATTTACATTAACATTTTATTTTACATTTATATTAATGTTAACACGATAATTAAATTCCTTTTAAACAGATAAATTTCATTTAATAATTAATTCAGTACTTTTCAGTTAACAGGATGCAAAAAGACTATCATGAAAGAATATATTGAAAGACAATTTAGTCTATGTGATTGTCCAGCTTCATGTAGCCCATTGGAGTACTTGATGTTATATTGTTTTGGGGATGCGGAGACTTGCCTCTACCAAGGTGCAAGCAATAGCGAGCATCAAGGCCCATGCCTACATGTGAAGCATGCAGAGAAGATGGGATACTGATACTGATGTTAAAAACTGACCTTTGGAGATGAATATCTCGTGAAGGGTCAACAGTTCTGGGGGTGGTGTGAAACTCCTCATTTAGAGCTTGAATCTTACCCGTTGCTGTACATTTTGGCTGGCATCCTGTTAACTGAAAAGTACCACTAATTCTGTTTTAATGATTACTGGATGGATAGCCCTAAGAATTTTTCATAGGTAGTTTATTCCATATATGTTGAGTCCCATTCCTTACCATCTAGCTACCTACTTTGAGAACCTGACCCAGACCCATGATAAGTATGATTGATTAAAAAGCTGCCTTAATGCTCTCAAGGTGAAGAATTAAAAAATAAAACAAAGTTCTAATCAATTAAAAAATATAGGTGGTAATGTTCAAATAAAAATAATACTGTAATTAACATTAAGAAGTTTCTATTTTTATTAATAAATGCTTAAATTTTGAAAAATTTTTTTTGGTTTCTTTGCATTTTTCTAAGAACCTTAGTTATGAGTGAATTATTAATAGAAAATTATCTTTATTCTCATATTTAGAAAAACTAAATGTAGAGAAAGCTTAAACAGTTTTATTGAGGAATTTTGGCATCCTTTAATGTAAATACATTCCATAAAGCTTTTAACCATTCTTCTGATCTAATGCCTTTTAAAATGTTCCTTTAATGTTTCTTCAATAGATTTTTAACACAAGAATTATTGACAAACTATTGAAAATATTATATTCATCCTTTATTTTCTTTCCTTTCTTAGTTGTGTTTTTTTTTTCTTCTTAGAACTTTCCATTTTTAAAATTATTGCAAACTGTCTTCAGCGTATTGAAAAATGAATATAATCTTAAATAACTTTTTGAACTTATTCTTTTTTTTTAACTGCATGAAAACAAAAAGAAAGAAAATGGTCTTATAGTATAAGAACTATTGAAGGAAAATCAAATAAATATCTGTAAGAGATAACAGAACAAGATTTTTTTTGGAACCTATTTCTATTGAGAAAGTTTATAAATTAATTCAAGTGTAAAACTTGAGTTAAAAATTCATTATAATTCAATATGCAAAGGCCTGGATTTTAGTGGCCTCAATAAATGGGAAGTTTTTACAATAATACCAAGTTTAGACCGGGTATGCAATACCCTTCAAAAAACTGAATCGTAATTTGTAAAAATGAGTCTCAGCAATAAGATAAAGAAATACATAACAAAAGAACAAGGCAAAACAGTGATAAAAGATAAAAATTATTACAGATATAAAAATAAAATTAGTGAACTACAAAAATTTTTGGTGGATAATAAATTAGAGATAATTAAAGCCAATAAATCAAAACAGCTTATCATAGTAAATGCCAATTGGGTAAAAAATAAGAAATACGAACTAATAGAAAGTAAAAAATTCAGGCAACTCCCGATAGATCCTAAAGAAATTATATATAAAGAGCTGAAAAGCAGGATTACATTACAAGATTACAAAAACTGAACAAACTAATTAAAGCCAAAAAAGAATTTATTTTAAGTGATGATAATGATCGCACACCAAAAATCAGTATTCAACTAAAAACCCATAAGCCTAGTGATAAAATAAGACCCATAATAGACTTTAAATATGCAATGTTGTATAACTTAGAAAAATTTTTAAAACAAAAACTCAGATCTAATCAAAATTCCATATTTGCCATATCTAATATAGATGAGCTCCTACAAGATATTAAAGATATAAAAATAGAAGATGGTTTTAAAATTGCCATTTTAGATATTATTGATATGTACCCCTCCATGGCATGGGAAATAGTCAAAAAAAAAAAAAAAAAAAAAACAGATTAATATAGAACCAGAAATAATAGACCTAATAGAATTTTCTTATAGAAGTAACTATTTTGAAATTGATGGGAACTATTATACTCAAAACAAAGGTATCAGTATGGGATCAGTCATATAAACTAAACTTGCTGAAATAGTAATGATATAGATGTTACCGCTAAAGCTTGAAATCCGTTAATGTGCGCATTACCTAGCTAATCTGCAGATTAACTAGGGTGATCCGTTAAAGCTGCAAAAATTATTCCATTTCTCAAATTACCTAGGTAATGTTCAGATTATCTAGGTAATCTGCAAATTACCTACTAGGCACTCGGTAAAGTGAAAATAAGATTTTTGCTGGAACAACAGCAACGTTTCTGTACGCTTAAATTAACATAATGTTATTTATTTAATTTTCAATATCTAAAGAATCAAGTTAATACAATCAACAAATTAGTTGATTGAATCAATCATCAATCAATTAAAAAAACTTTAATACAAAAATCAAACGGTTTAAAATATTACTACAATTAGGGAAATGAATTTGCAAAACATATGATAAAATTGTACTTACTTATTAGTGCAATCTAAAGATTGGTGACACTTTGAATTACGTAGCAATTGGTTTTTGCGACAAGCACGCCTATTTGTGGTACATTTAGATTTGCAGTCACATTTTCTGAAACCCTGCCCAGTACCAAGGGATTGTTTTATTGCTGTTTGACGTAAAGATATTTCTACAGCAGGGACATCCATCTTCTTTCGTTAAAAATCTCTCTTTGCAAACACTGAATTCAGATTTTGCATACAATTGTTTTAAAATACCTGTTTTAGTATCAAGTTTATAAAAGCCATCCTCTGTTTTACTAAGAACCACAGCTAAAATTGAACGTGCATCAGTTTTTGCTCTGTCTTCTTCGGGTACTTTAATTCTCACAGCGAAACCTTCATCGACGTTTGGGTGCTTTGCATTAGAAACTGCTAACATTTTCTTTGCTTGCTTTTCTAAACATTTCTTGGCTTCATCACGCTGTATTTTCTGATCCATATTCTTTTTACAGATGATGCACAATACATTCTTACCATACCCTTCCTCTTTAGGATCTACTTCACCACAAACTGCGTGAACAAACATATTACACGATTTACACTTGTGAGCACTTGATGCTGCTTTTGAGCAAACAATACAGACTATGTCTTGTATAGTGCTCTTTACAGGCTCCGTACGAAACTGTGATGGCGATTCTGCTGAAGTTGAGAGTAACTCAGTGATGACTTCTTCAACTTGCAGAGGCGATTCCTTGGAGGTGCAGGGTAACTGAATATTCTTCGTGACTGCATCATCAATCAACGGTATAGAAGGCAGTTTAAGATTACTATCGGTAAATTCTTGTATTTCTATAGGTGATTCTGTAGAAGCGGGGGATAACGGAATGTCCTCTTGAGTAAGATTTGACTGTGATCTCATAATCACAGTCTCTTGTGAATCTTCTAATTTTTCAAGGTCTTCTTCAGTTTTTATCGAATGTCAAACAATTCTCCGGCATGGACAAACTTTTTCAAACCTTTCTCGCGCATCTGACAACGGCTCAATGAGTTTTTCACAGCCTCGTACAGTCAACACATCACACCTTTGAATTATTTGATAATCTCGAGATGATTCTTTCTTCTTGGAAACTTTTATTTGCTTTACATCTTCAATTATGGAATCATACTTTGGTTTGTTATTAAAACACTACGTATTATATTTTAAATCTTCGCTAAAGAGGTTTGCGAAGAATCTTTTCTTGATTTTACTCACCAATTCGGTGCTTGCTTGCATTCTAGGATTTAAATTTATCTACGTAAAAAGGAGTGGGGAAAGGAAGTGAAAGAAAAAAACTTTTGAACTTTA